ATATAGCTAGAACGGTTGCTGTCCTGTTGGCTAGACACACTCTTCACTGTAGCCACATGGAAAGGGACCATACTTCCATAAATTGGTAAGAGGATAGCTTCATTCTTCTGGTCAACCTGAATCATCAAATCCCTAGGAGGGGTAGATCATTAACATTTTTGTATGCGATCAAATCACCAACTGTCTTCACTGCACCCCGGTTATCTGCTGCATTAGCACCCCCGCCAGCTAGTCGCCTTGCTGTTTCTTCATTCTTCTGGCGAGCAAGCTCAGCCTGGTGCTGCCTTCTAAGCTCTTCTTTAGACATTTCATGGTTGTCTGACCTGAGTGTTGTCTTGGAGAATGTCTCGTTACCGTTATCCTCAGCTTTAACCTTAAACTTCTCTTCTTCTTCATCATCTTCGTTGAATGAGTATGCCACATCTTTGAGAGCTTTAGAACTTTTAGCTGTTAAGATATCTGGTACCTTCTCACCAACAATGACAGTATCTGCAAGCAACAGCGAGTATTTCCCAGTCTTGGGGTTCTTCGTCTCTGCCTGCAAGTTCTGAAAACCGAGTGACACGTTGAAAACCATCCCTGGTCTCAAGATTCGGTCATTCTTAGCGTTAAGGCTAAGCCCCGACTCACGGAACTCAAGGCCTATTCCGGTCCCTGCAGTTTTAGTTAAGTTTGCAGCTAATTCAGGAGCAGCCTTCTCTACCACTGAGAGTGCTTCTTGGTAAACAGAACTCACCTTGTTTCCAGATTTCAAAGCACCAATGGCTGCTTCTTGAGCTTTAAGGAGGACCTCATATGCCTTGCTTTGTTTGGAATTGGCATCAATCAAAACAGTTCGAGCAATATTTGAACAGTAGCTGTTGTATCGAGACCGAGTGCACATATAATGACACTGGTGGAGTCATAGTAAAGATTCTCATCGTTGCTTGAAGCACTTGGTTTTAGATCAAACTCTCCTCCACTCTGAAAAATAGGAGGGTAGCAAATGTCAATGTTCTCTGCCTTCAATTTCACCTTAATTCGTGCCGGCTCCAATATTGTCTTCTCTGTATCATCCATCAATGCAGAGTGAGAAACCTTCCTCTCCTCATCAATGACCTTCTCGAGTTTGGGCACCACAAATTGCCTCATAACAGATGAAGTCAAGAACGCAGCCTTCTTCACATTTGTAAGCTCAGTTTCATCTTTCACAGCAAACAAGTCCGAGAATCCATTTGTTACATCAGTAAGCTCAAATTTTGCATTCTTCAACTTTTCATCCCAAGCTTCCAAAAACTTTCCCTCGGGTGCTTCCCTTGATATGCAACCTACAACAGGTACATCACTATCACTGGAGTTCGTCTGAGAATAGATAGCTCGAAAAATGTTATCCATTAGACCAGTCCCGTTGTCGCCCTTGGCCTTCACATGAATAATGACTTCGATGTCAACAGCTTCTTTGGCAGACTTCTTCACAACATCAAGCAAAGATGCCTTTTTTTGGGTACACAAGAAATGAATCTGTTTCTTCAAGAAAACCATAATGGTCTCTGGGAATTCATAGCCTACAACCAAATATTTAGTGCCGAGGATTTCAAGTACCTCAGATCCTCCGAAATAGGGGGAGTCGCGATGGCCAGAGCACTAGAACCACCCCACAGATCAGTACCGTGTTTATTCCAATGTGAATATAAAATCTTCAACCGCTTGCTGAAGTTATCTAGATTGATAGTGAACGGGTTGGCGGCAGCAGCCGCGGGTGGCTTGCCACTTGCAGCCTTGACATTTCTATTCCGGTTATCAGCCATTGAGAATCACTCAAATACTGAAACTTGAATCAGGGAGACTAAGCCTTGTTTGGCTGTGGCAATCAGCATAAACTGTGATGAACAACATAGAGGTCAGTTCCCTTTCTCTTCCATTCAGCAATGGTTCAACCTCAAATATTCCACTAGTCATAGATATATGTTACACGCATTTTACAATTACCACATCATGGTATGCATAATAAGATTAGATAAGGAACTAACAAAATGATTGGTGGCTGTCATCTTTGCTAATATGGTAGAATATATACAAAAGCAGATTCTGATTCATTTCTATGCCTATATACGAAGCAATGAATCCTAAAATCACGTTAGCTTTGAAATTCATCAGATTCCAATGATCATAGGACAGAATTCAAGCTATGGGAAGGAAGATCACCTGAGAAAACGAAAGGCCTTAGCTTTTTAGCTTTATCGAGTCCTCAATTTTCTGTTGACGATTGCTATGTTCCAGAAAGAAAGAAAAACCCAATCATCAGATTCCCAATATGGAGCTAGTTGATCCTTGGTTTCACTATACATAAAGAAAGAAAATGATGATCTAGAAAGTAGGAAAACAGTAACCATACCAACATGGGATAGGGATAGGGATAAGATTGGATTGTGGTGAAGAACCAACCTGTGAGATTACCATCCGAGTGGAAATCAAAGAGGAGGGCAAAGAACAGGTGAAGAAAGTGAAGAGCTTCTGGAGAAAGATGATGAGATCTGCAGAGGTAGATGGATTATTTCTGGTGGGTTTGGGGGCAAAGATAGAAAGTGGATCAGATATGAAGGATCAGAATTTTGGGTGTTAATAAACAGAGGGTAATGATGGACAAATGGGTAGGATGATGCTGCAAGCAGCAGCTGGTGGGAAGGAGAAGATGATGGCAGTGGTGAAATAGATGGAGAAAGGAGGAGCTTGAAGGGAAAAGGCCTTAGGAATTAAGAAATATACCCTATTATGAATCCATTAGTATGATTTTTATTCTTTTTAATTTGTTGGAAATTCAGATAAGTGATATTTCAAGGCTTAGGTCAAACCTTTTTTTGGTTATATTTTGTTTTTTTGCCTTTATGTTTTATTTAGAGTTTTAATTTTATGGAGTTAAAAGGGTGAATAAAAATGATGTATGCACTAATTAATTATTAGTTGGTTTAATGACGTCAGATATTATAAATTAATGATATTTTAGATTTAAATTATATTTATAATTATTTTTTACAATATTTGATTTGAATTATTTAATTAATAAATCGAATATGATGGATGGATGAAATGGTGTAGTTGCTGTAATTTATCTGCAGCTTATCAACCTTTTGGACGATTGGAATTATTGTGTTATGCTTTTCAATCGTGCATCATTATTATATTTTAAAGTAGGATGTAAATTTAGATATATTCTTATAGTATATTTCTTAAATTTATATTGAGTTAATACAAGTTTTCATCATGATTATTATGTGGAAAATTATTTTTTAATTGAATTGTGAGTTTAATAATTGTATTTAATTCAATTTTTCTCAACAAAAAAAAATTAATTGAGTGGGAGTGTAAGTAAAGGAAGTGGGTAGGAGTTTGCTGAGAGTGTATTAGGGAATCGTTGGTGTGAAATCTGAAAATTCTCATGAAAAATTAAGTTAGAATGTAATCTAAAATTTTGGAATTGAATATTCATACTTTAATTAATTATTATTTTTATTAGTAAATTAATTGACGAATTAATTACTAATATATCAATTAATTTTATAATATAGTTTCAACATTTATAAAATGCTTAATACAAAAATAATTGTCTAAATTACATCTCAAAATATGATTTGATGTCTAGAGAATTGTTTGCTAAAAGTAAATGTCTAATTTTTTTTTAGCTGTCTTGATCGTAATGAATGTTAAATTTGACTATTATTTAACACTTGTCATATATATAAAATTTTAAAAATTATTTTATTTTAAAAATTATATTATAATTAAAACCCCACTAAAATTTTACATTTCTCGTCATCGGTCGGCCACCGTCGGTCTGTGGCCGTCACCGTTAATGCCATCAAAGCATTCTAGTCGCCGCAACCAAAACCTAGCCCACCAACCACCATTAAACTGCACCGATCATTGTAAAAAAATGTCACGAATGCTCACCAAATTTTTAGGGTTTCTTGTTTATGTTTTTCGTCGATTTCGATGGTTACTGTCGTCCGTACGTTACACGATCGCTATCGTTGTGTTCCTCGTCATGCTCCGAACAAAATTTGACCAATGGAGATTGTTCGCTATCAAAGGGAGGGCGACGGGACTGAGAGGGATGACGAGGGAAAAGCGAATCTTTTTTTTAGTTTTTTTTTGAAAAAAAAATAATATTTTTATTATTAAAAATAAAAAAAAATAAGACAGTAGTCATCTAAAATTGTAACGTTGAAAAAGTTAGACATCTATTTTTAACAAAAAAATCTTTAAACATTAAATCGTATTTCGAGGTATAGTTTAAACATTTTTGTATTAAACCTTTATGAAATTTAACATACCGCCTCCTCTTTAACCCACGATTTCCAACTAATCAAACAATCAATAGAATTGAGCAGTGGCAAGAACACATGGGCATCATCTCACACAAGGGTCATGGTGAAGCAACTCATTCACAATAGAGGGAATGTAAATTCCAAAGCACTGCCGCCGGCTAAACCCCAACCAAATGAGGTCGTATAACTCTAATAACTGACTTTTTTTTAAATCCTAACTGTGCTTAAACTCCATCTCTGAAATAAACAAAAACTGGACCAGCTGCTAATACTACAACTTCCCCATATCATATCCCCATATTGGCACATTCCCTTCAAGCTTTTATCATTTTACTTCCCACATGCTCTAGCATGAGGCCAACCCCTATATATTGTAGAACGGAACCGGGTCGGTTTCATGCCACAATAGTCTAATTGATGGCCACCACTCACAACAATGGGGTGCTTCCACTGAGAAATTCTTTTCAACTCTTTTTGTTTACTAATTTCAACTTCCAGAAACGTGGGGGGCCTGTTGGTTCAACTTCCATGAGATCTTTAGGAGAAGCATAACAAGTGACAAAAACTTGGTTAATGGCTATAGTACCTAGTACATAGGCCAAACCTAGGATATCGTGGCCGGCTTTGCCCTATAAGTAGAGGGTACCCTTCCCTTACACTCCACATGTTTTCATTGAAACTAAAGTTAAGCTCAATATGCCCTTCCATCAAGTTCTTGTCTTGCTTTTCTTTATCTTTTCATGCCTTTACTTTGTTACCATTCAAACCAGACATCATTATGGCAACTCGGAACATGAGCGACTCCACCACCTTGTATCTCACGTTTCTGTCCCTCCTTCACCTGCGCCAGAAGCTGCTGCTGTTGCTGGTCCAAGGTACAGTGTCTTCAATGTGCTTGATTTTGGTGCTATCGGGGATGGTGTCGCCGATGATAAAGCGTTTAAGCTGGCTTGGGACACGGCTTGCGAACTTGAATCGGCGGTTCTTCTAGTCTCGGATGGTTATCCCTTCATGTTACAATCTACAATCTTGCAGGTCCTTGTAAGACTGTTGGCCTTGTGTTTCAGGTAATGAACATTTTGTCATTGCAGTTTAGCATGGAGCTTGTTCTGTGATAATCAGCCATTTACTTGTTTCGATTTTGGTTCGAAGATTGATGGAACCATAATGCCACCTGACGGACCTGATTCTTGGCCAGAAATACCAGCAAAAGGCAATGGCTTGTCTTCTACAGAGTCGATGGAATGTTGATGCAAGGTGGTGGCCTTGTAGATGGCAAAGGACAGAAATGGTGGAATCTTCCCTGCAAACCTCACAAAGTAATCCAATTTACTCACGTTTAACATGCCTGTTTCTATTTCACCAGTAAAGTCCATAACTAACATAATATATATCTGCTAAGCAGGGAATTAATGGAACAGCAATGCCTGATCCCTGTGATAGCCCTGTGGTAAGTACAACTGAGCCTAGCACTTAATCTTTCTTCAATTTTTCTGAAGATTTTTCTATGGGGTTTTCAAATGCAGACTATAAGGTTTTTCATGAGCCCAAACTTGACTGTTAAAGGACTCAAAATCAAGAACAGTCCACAGTTCCATTTCAGATTCGATGCCTGCCACGGCGTTCGAGTAGACTCACTGACTATCAAAACACCGGCCCAAAGTCCCAACACCAATGGAATTCACATCGAGAACACAAATAATGTGCAGATATATAATTCCTTCATATCAAACGGTGGGTTTTCTTTATGATTTTAGCACATCTTGAGCATATATAGAATCAAAAACTCAAAACAGAGTGCTTACAGCAGTATAGAAAATGAAACCCAAAATTCATGAATCTGCAGAAAGGAACAAGCTGGTAAGAAGAGGAAAAAAAAGTTAGAAACTAAAAATTGGATGAGCAGAAGACCATAATCTACTCCCTATACCACCGATTGACAATCTGGAAAATCAGATAATTCAATCTAAGACCAATCCATATAATTGATGAGAGCAATCAGTGCTTAAAAAACCAGATAGGCAAAGACGTGAGAAAGGGAAATGAAAAAAGAAAAGAAAATAAGAACCCAGAACTCTACCTGGAAAGCAAAGGCCAGAGATTACAACATGTCACATACGAAATGAATAAAGAAAGCTTCGCAAGCGAGTAACGTTGACGAAAAAGGCAAGAGAATAGAAATGAAATGACTCAACCCCCAGTCTTATCTAATATAAAGTTGATTTAAATAAAAAGGTTAATCTGATGATGTTAGAGATTCCCATTTGATTTCAAGAAAAGGAGAGAGACGAAGAAGAAATTGTACTACTACAATATTGTACGCTTCTTAATAGTTTATAGGAAACGCAATACACGTTCAATTCCAAAGAAAAAAATACCATGAAATATTTAGAACACTTTCATCTTCCCCGTAAACCCAGTAAATCTAAAACTCATCTCTGTTCTTCTTCATTCACCATTTTTTCTCTTAAACTAAAACTCATAAAACCTGAGCATCTTCTTCTTCATAACATCTACATTCAAACTTAAAACATACTCACCATGATGCTAGTATTTCGTCACTTTGACAAAGACAATAATGCTTTTGGTTCACGGAATGAAAGATTACCAGTAGTAATAAAAGATTACCAGGGAATAGGGTTACTAAAAATGTTATATTTTGTGTATAATTGGTTTAGCAGGAATGTAATATTACCGTTTTTGATTAAAGAAATAAAAAATTATTGTAATGTATATTTGACCAAATTGTCCTTATTATATATTTATTTTTTTAGCAAGTTAGAAAATATTTATATATTTTCTTTAAAAAATTTAAACTCATAAAAATTATATATATTTTTTTACAAAATTAAAAATATAAAAATGTTTAATGAAAGAGTAAAATTTTATTTTAACCCCTGAACTTCATATAAAATTTTAATTATAGATTTTTTTTATAAATTTAAAATAGTTTAAGGATAAATTTGTAATTTAACCTTCGTATAATTTTTATTATTCAATGACAGAATAATGATATTTAAAAAAAATACCTAAAGAAAGGGAGGTAATGACCTTCCCGGTAATATACCCCAAAAAATCAACTATTGGTAATGTAAGATTATTGGGAATGACATTCCTGACCAACCAAACGGGGGAATGTGGATTCCATTCCTATGGGAATCTCACATTACCCCAACCAAATACACCCTAAGGTCTCATAAATTAGAGTAGGTTATCTTCAACAAACAAAAAATTGGTGATGAGTTTAGTGCATCCGTCTCTGATGGGATTAGATATGTTCATTTTTCGGTTTTAATTGAATTAACTGACCAAACCGAATTAGTTCAATTAATTCAATCAGTCATCGAATTAGTTCGGTCGAGAAACAATTAATACCATTTTTAATATTTGGTTAATAGTTAATTCGGTTCGAAATCAGTTAATTAACTGAATTAACTAAAATCTTTAAACATTATATCTATATTAAATACATATTTTAAGTTAAAACTCATTGAAAATTAAGACTCAATTTTTTTTTGAACAATGATGCGATAAAGGAGTGGTGAGCGAACTAAACAATTCGATAGAATGCTTGGCTACACAATTTTGATTATATCGGAAAACGATCATTTACAAAAGAGGGGATCTAACAATACGTGTCACCGACAAGCCAATCAGAAAACAAATATCTTGAGGATCTTTGTGAAAGCACCAACAAAACCACATAAGTATGCGAAAAACTTATTGAAAACCGCAAGAAACGTGTCATAAGAGCATAGAAAAACGTGTCATAAGAGCAGAGAAAAGTGTATCACAATGAAAGAAATTTTTATTTAAAAGTAAAAAAAATACATAATCTGAGAAAAGAAAAAGAAAATAATAATCACGGACAGTCGATAAATAATATTAAGATTGGTGTCGTCACCGGCTAAACAAAAATAAAAGAATAGAATAAGACGACATAAGAATATTGAGAGAGAAAATTAGGTTAAAGAAATCCTAAGTTAACTGGAGACTCAATTATTTTTTAATTACATTAGACTCATTAAATTATCAATGACTATTTAAATTTTAATCCAAATAAAAAAATATTTCTATCATATTCAAATTAATTTGATTAAATGAAATAAATTGGGTTTGGATGGCCGCTCTTGCCTCTACAGTACATCAGGATTAGTCAATTAATAGATCGAATACATGAAATTATACCAAAAAATTAATCTAATTAAAAGAATTATTAAAAAATTCAATTTATTCGATTAACAAACCAAAATAATTAAATTTTATTCAGTTCAATTAATGTTTTTGAAAAACTTTAGTTAGATTGACGATTAATTTTTTTGGATTAATATAATTAAACAAAATTCAATTCGATCGGTCATAAAATTAACGGTTTAAACAACTTTAGATGGGATCATATATGCAGTTGAAGGTGGAAAAAAGACATCATATCTAGTATTTATGTCTTGTATCGTGTATTTATGTTATCCGATGATTTGTCGTTTACGCTGTCAAATTCAATGTATCTTTGGAATCGGGCAAATATTATGGTTTACTTATAAGTCTAAATATAGCATTTTCTTTTAAATAAATATCTAAACTTTTTTAAATCATACAGGAACATAATGTTATAAACGTTATTATTTTAGGTGCTCGAGACGTAACAGTCGTTAATTTTTTTTCTTTAAGTAACATGTGTCATACTCTGATAAATTTGAAAAAAATAAAAAATAAAAAATTTTAAAGTTATCAGAACGTGACACGTATCATTTAATGATAAAATTTTACGATCTTTACGATTCAATACATAAAGTGGTAACATTTATAACATTAGACATCTGAATAATTAAAAAAGTTTAAACACTTATTTTAAAAAATTGGTATAATTTAGACATTTATTTTATAATTAAGCCTTATATTATGTGAACGAGGTGGGCATGGAGTATTTTGTTAATTTCTCCAAATGCCTTATTACAACTAGATTAATAGCTTTTTAATAATACAACAGAAAGCAATGATTAATGCGTGTTGTTGGCACTTTAAATAATCAAAAATTTAAATGGAATTTGGTTTCAGGAAGACAAATTGGTCATTAGGTTGAGTTTAGAACGGGTGAAAATTACACGAAATAAAAAGTAAGGGCTAATAAAGTTCGACTCAATAAAAAGTTATTTTTTTGTTTAATTCTATTTAAATTGATTTTGAGTAATAATTTTATAAGTTTGATTTAATAAAAATTCAACTCAAATTAAATTATAAAATATAACTCAAATAAATCCAACAATAACTTAAATAATTCAAAATTCTTAGTGATTAATAGATTGATTTTCAAGTTTGTATTGAGTCACTCGATCTTTGTATGATATATATATATCATTGAAACTCGCCCTGTGAACGTGATGAGTTTGAATCAAAAATATTATTTTGATAAACTTATCATGTGAATGTGACGAATTTATAACATTTGTCATAAATCCAAAATTAATTTTAAATATGTCTTAATGGGCTATTTTTTACCAGCATGATCTATTGGACTAATTTTGCCCACATAAGAATGGTAATAGGTTAACTCAAATTGGATTTTAGTTGATTTAGATTATTATAATTTTTATGTAAAATTTGATTAGACTTAAATTTAAGAAAATATCATTTACTTGAAAACCAAACTTAAATTTAAAATAAAAATTTGTACTTGATAGGACTTTAATATTTTTATTTAATAAATAAAAATTTAATTAAAAATATAAAGAGTCAAAGAGAAACATCATATCAATTATCTTCCTAAAATCAAATAAGATACCTTTTTTTTTGCGACTTCAAATTTTACAAAAATCGACTAACTCAAATCAAATTTTAAAAAGAAAAATTCTATTATTAACTCTAATTATATATTTCTATCCAAAAGAAAAACAATAAATTGTTGTCTTTTATCGTACATTAACATTAACCGTGTACAACCACCACCAATCATCGTATGATAGAAATCAACAGTCAACACAAACTATTCTAAATTCATATATATATATATATTTTTTAATTAAACTGAATTTAAACGATTTAATATTAATTTTAAAATTTAGATATAAGATGAGTTAATGGACCCATTGTGAACAGAGCCGCCAGCAAAAGCCTGTGTTTCCTTCCCAAATGTCATAGTGACGGCGTCAGCTTGAGTTGTTAGCAACTTGTAATCTCCAGTGACGTAAACAATATACCCTTGGTCCCCCACCTAAAATAAAATATTATTTATCACCCTAATATTCCATATTTACCCATACATTTATTTATGGCTCATTCCCATTATTTTCAGAGAATCACATGGGCAATATCGTCAATTAGTGACCCTTCAATCAAAGACTTGTTCGATAAAAATCACTATAAAACCAGCCAACCAACACGGCTTCTTCTTCACCTTCTCACCGGCAACGAAAACCCCATTTCCTCTCGCTTTCTCTCCCTTATTACTCTGACTGTAATATTTTTATGGTTTAATTCAATATATAATATTATAGTTCTTCATGTTCTAAAATCTAAAGCGTACACAGTAGGTAAAGTCAAGCTAGCAAATGGAGCAGAGTGGGAGAAGGAAGAGAAAAATGGGGAATGAAGAAGAAAAAGACGACGAAGATGATGAAGAAGAGAAAGTGGAGAAGTTCTTTGCTTTGATACGAAGCACAAGGGAGGTGCGTGATCGTCTAAGGAACGTTGTGGCGCCGAATGGATCAAAAGAGGAAGAGTGTCAAAAGAAGAAAGAGGAGGAGAAGGCGGTTGCTGCCGGTGGGGGTGGTGGCCGGTGGAATCCATCGTTCCAATCTGAAGATTTCATGGAGGGTTCCGCTTCCGGGTCTAAGAATCCTTCGAGGTTGAACGATGCGGGCCCTTCCTCGGAGACAAAACATGGACCCGAAAAAGAAAGCAAGGACGACGGCAGCGGCGGCGGCGGTTTAGACCTTAACCTTTCGTTGTCTTTGTAGTACTAATTTTTGGTGACATAGATGAAATTGAAGTGATGTTATTAATTTGAATTTACTAATTTTATAAAAGTGAATTAATTAAAATATGTCTAACTAAAGCGTAACTAAACGTAATAAATGGATAAAAACCATAATTAAAAAGTAGATTTATCATTGGATTAGTAAATTTCTCGATCCACTCAATTAGTGGCCTTGGAAGTGTATAATTCTGGGTTCAAACTTCAAAGGATTTAACATTCAATGCTTAAACCAAAGTGAAAGTTTGTAGGGCCTTTGAGATTGGAACATAGACTTGCCTATCAGTTATCGCAAGGCCCGGTTTGGGTTTTGAATGGTCTTGTTGGCAACAAACATCAGTGATGGTATATTATTATTAGAGAAAATAACCTCAGTGATCGAAAATGTCTTGTAATATATTTTGACCAACTTTTTTTGGATTTGCCAAAATGACCAAGTAAATCGCAATGCGATCGATAATTCGCAACGCGATCTCCGGTATCGCAAATCAGTTTCCAGATTCGCAACGCGATAGGCGAAGTTCGCATTGCGATTTATTCCAAATTCGTTGCGATAGGCGAAGTTCGCGTTGCGATTCATTCCAAATCGTTGCGATAGTCGAAGTTCGCGTTGCGATTCATTCCAAATCGTTGCGATAGGCAAAGTTCGTGTTGCGATTCATTCCAATTCGTTGCGATAGGCGAAGTTCGCGTTGCGATTCATTCCAAATTCGTTGCGATAGGCGAAGTTCGCGTTGCGATTCATTCCAAATTCGTTGCGATAGTCCAAATATTGCATTTGTTTCTTAAGAATTTTCTCTAAAAATATAGAATTCGCGCGGACGTGTCGAAGACACGTATTACCACGACCACGACCACGACCACGACCCGACCCGACCCAACCCGACCCGAGACGGGACGGCGGCGACGACAGCGCGCGAGAGTCTCCCTTATTCTCTATCACTCAACAAGGAAGTGGGAAAGCCAAGCCTTAAATATCATTCCCAATAGCGTTTCCAATACTATGTGGGATTGAGCATTACCAACACTTGTTTCCAATACCATTACCTTCATTGTCTGTAAAAGTTTAATTTTGAAACTAAAAAAATATTTATTCGAATAAATAACTTACCCTTTGAGGACTTTGATGGAAGAAAAATATTAACCAAACAAATGCAAAGGAGACAATGATGGGAGTTTTTAACTGAGGATGCTACGAAAACTAGCTGATAATGACACAAAGGAAACATATCGAGTTGTTTGGTCATCATCTACTCTTTGCAAGTAAGTCATTTGAACACTATAAGAACCCAAATCAGAGTTAGTTTTAGCAATTACTTCATTTATGATCAAAGTCCTCAAAGGGTAAGTTATTTATTCGAATAAATATTTTTTTAGTTTCAAAATTAAACTCTTACAACAATGAAGGTAATGGTATTGGAAACAAGTGTTGGTAATGCTCAATCCCACATAGTATTGGAAATACTATTGGGAATGGTATTTAAGGCTTGGCTTTTCCACTTCCTTGTTGAGTGATAGAGAACAAGGGGGACTCTCGCGCGCCGCCGCTGCCGCCGTCCCGTCTCGGGTCGGGTCGTGGTCGTGGTCGTGGTCGTGGTAATACGTGTCTTTGACACGTCCGCGCGAATTCTTTCTTTTTAGAGAAAATTTTTAAGAAACAAATGCAATATTTGGACTATCGCAACGAATTTGGAATGAATCACAACGCGAACTTCGCCTATCACAACGAATTTGGAATGAATCGCAACGCGAGCTTCGCCTGTCGCAACGCGAGCTTCGCCTGTCGCAACGAATTGGAATGAATCGCAACGCAAACTTCGCCTGTCGCAACGATTTGGAATGAATCGCAACGCGAGCTTCGCCTGTCGCAACGAATTGGAATGAATCGCAACGCGAACTTCGACTATCGTAACGAATTTGGAATGAATCGCAACGCAAAATTCGACTATCGCGTTGCGAATCTAGAAACTGATTTGCGATACCGGAGATCGCGTTGCGAATTATCGATCGCATTGCGATTTACTTGGTCATTTTGGTAAATCCAAAAAAAGTTGGTCAAAATCGTATATTACAAGGCATTTTCGGTCACTGGGGTTATTTTCTCTTATTATTATTATGTAACTTCTCTTTCGGTTTAATTTTAGTTTTTTTTTTGGATAAGTTAAAATTTATTATCCAAAGAAGCAATGTTCTGCTACAACAAACATCCCAATTGGGAGTATAAACAGCTTACTTGCAACAAAAAAATGGTTAGTCTATACCCCAATAGTTACATAGGTTAAAATTAACATTATTTATTCTATTAATGTTTCTGTCTCTGAGTTGAATTCGAACAAGCTCCTGGATGGACTTCAAAATTTGATCCATAGTTCTAGACCCTCGTTGAAAAATTCTTCTATTTCTTTCCTCCCAAATCAAGTAGATGAAGGCAGTCCAAACTATATTCAGGATGGAGGAAAGAAGAGATTTGCCATTCCAATCTTCACAAGCCCATTCGATCATTGCTTCCCAAGACATGTGGGGTTTGCGCAAGTGAGTAAGATTCAAGATAGATTTCCACAGAGAATTTGTGAAGTTACAATATGCAAACAAATGATTCCTTGTTTCGAGAGACTTATTGCATAAGACACATAAACCATCAGAGACTATTCCCATCCGAGAAAGCCTCTCCCGAGTTAGGAGTCTGTCCAGAATAGCCATCCATGAAATCATGCTGCACTTAGGAATATGGAGAGGAAACCAGATCACTTTGTGCCAAGGAACCTTGTTTCTTTGGACTCTAATTTCTTCCCATATATCCTTAATCTTCGTAGTTCCTGCGTTAAGTATGGGAAGAGCTTCAGTTCTTAGCGCATCTAATACAAATCTTTTATATTATTACATGCCAACTAAATTCTTTATAACAAAATACATACAATTATATCTACATTTCCGATCTGATATTTGGTAAGGAGAATTGACCTGTCTTGTTCCTCTTTACTTCTCTTTCCGCTTTCCAAACCTACGTGTGAAACAATCACACGCTAAGTCGATGACTTAGTGAGGCATATAAACATATAATAAAAATCATAAAACATTTCACATAACAGAATATATACATGTACATATATAATTATATTCTTCCTTGTCATTATCCTATTATTATCATTAATACCTTTTATCATATTATCATATACTTATCATTTATACCCATCATATATCATTTCATAAAGAAATACACTTAACCTCATATAATTCATGTAATACAGTTCATATAACTAAAACATATATCCTTTCATATAACCAATACATGAATCCTGTAATTTATTCTATATAACAAATCACATATACATATCACATTCAGTATTTTTATTTAATTTCTTTATTAGCCCATGTACACTGTTGAGAACTGAAGGTATGTGAGTACATTGAGATTGTGCACTAATGCTGTCACCACAGCTCGTATAAGTCCCACTGAGTGGCATATGAAATTTGTCCCGAATGACCTATGTATTTGTCCTGAAGGACCACTGCATATGTCTCGAAGGACCGCATAGACCCTCGACTCTTGGCATGCCAACTATACCTATAGCTCTCGTATTATATAATATAGACATTATCATTTATACATTTCATATCACTTGTTCTTTCTCTTCTGTCACATACCACATGTATGTGTAACCATATATCTCATATCATATCACATGTATCACAAGTGCATGTATTCACGTAGATAGTTTCATATGACTTATATCATTTCTCATTTGTTCATGTAAACTCACATATCATATCATGTAACATATATCATTTATGCATACCTTTACTCATGAATTCATACATCATACATACATTCACATAGATCACATATACATAACTTAAATCATATTTTCATATCATATATCATATACTAGATTCCTATATCATCACTTGTTTTCTTTCTACCTATTCACAATCACACTAACATGTACTCACACCTATCATTTAACATATACACTCATAAAAAATCATATAACATTTTAAGAGTCACTTCTTACCATAGTAACTCCGTCACTGGCTCATCACAAGCCAATGTTTATTCAATAATATAAGTACAAATTAAATTGCACTCACCTTAGCCTTGCTTGATTTGAATCGATTCTAGAACTTATCTCTTTCTCGATCGTTTCTAATCCCTCGATCGTTGCGGAACAAAGTTACGTTCACTATCTACATAATTATAAATTTATACATATCAGTAATACAATTATATACTCTAATCTTCCAATTATTATACTAAAGGAAAGACCAATTTCATTTCTTGTATAAAATAGGTATCGATATATCCCTAACTGAGATATAGATACCTTATCTATAGTATAGATACCCTGTCTATGGTATAGATACCCTGATAATATTCTGGAAATTTTCATCTTCAGGGGGGTATCGATACCCCCTATAGGGTATCGATACTATACACACATTCTGTAATTTTTTGTTCAAGAGGGGTATCGATACCCCTTCATAGGGTATCGATACCCTATGACCAGAAATTATATTTTGAGCACGAAAATCACCTCATTTCTACTCAAACACTTCCTATTTCATTCCTTTATATATACTTAACTCATCTACTCATACTTGAACTCATTAATACTCATTCAATACATCCTTAACTTCAAAATCCACTTCTCTACCTAGAATTCAAGAATCATACCCAATTTTGAATATGTTCTAAATACAATTCTAACACTTCATATTCCTTAATTAGTATGATGACAAGTCAAATTTAGCTTCATATTCAACTTATCAACTCTTTTTCATAAATTCCTATAAAAACTCATTTTCTTTAATCTCTTATATACCTTTCATCTTGTTTTTAGAACAAATTAAGATTTCCCTAAGCTTAATTATCATCTAATGATCATAACCCAACCTTAAATTTAACCAGAAATTAACTAAATAGAAGACTCACCTTTGAGTTTGAAGATACGGGAGGAGAGGAAGAAGAAAAGAGATTTCTGGAGA